TTAGGGTCACCTATTATAGTTGTAACTTACTTGGAATATTGGACTCATAGGGTGTTCAATAGGTCACAGGGATTAGTTGAGGTATGCGCAAGCTAGCCCGGATACCCCGGTTATAAATAAAAATCAAGCAACTCCTAGCTGGAAATCAACTACTATTGAATGAAGAACGATACATGCAAATTCTATGTAGATTTTAATAACATCTTAAATATTAAAATCTGACATGGACTAAACAAAAGATATAAACCTAAGTCTACTGCATTATTGTTAGCTTGAAAGGATACATATTGTTAGATTCATTGCTTAAGAAGGCATGTTTATTATTAATCATAAGAAGCTGAACAACTCGTATCCAAGCTTCATGAACAAGACAAAGTTCAATTCCAGTAAGAAAGCCATGAAGAGAATAAGCTCTTACCGCTAAAATTATTTGAGACCTTTCAATTGTTGTATTTGTGTCCATGAACACAATGTTGCTTTTATACTGCAATTCTAATATATTACTACTTTACTTGTTAATGAAACGCAACGTATGACTTAAAACTAACGGTATTAACTGAGACTGATGGAAGATCTTTCTTCTCTTTTTGTAATAACAAAATTTAACAAACTTCTGTTACTTAGCCTTAACTGATGTTTGAAACTTAAAGTATGCTTCTCCTTCATCATTAATTCTTCTAATATTCTCATCAGCATCGCCCCTCAACAACTAATATTAGATACAAACATTTTAAAAGATACAAAGAAAATAGAATAGAACTTTGAATCCAAAACCTTGAATCTTAGAGGTTCTCGTAAGTTCTTTATACATATGTTTACAAGCATAATCAAGTGCATGACCAAATGGATTGTTACGATTGTAATCCCATAATTTACACCTTTACAAAACGATAAAAGTAAAAAATATACAACTAAGAACTAGAACTAAAAAATCTTTTACAAATCAATATAGCTTCAATCAAGAGATATTTTGTCAAGTCTTGATCTGATATGGAGAAGATTGGTATGGTAGCGGAATGACAGATTTGGTAGCTGCTCATTTGACCTATTACAATTTTTCAGATAATTTGAATTTCCATTAATTAAACATGACATTATTAACAATGCTTATAGAAGTCCCAAGGTTATAGCATTATTGACAATTTATAACACTTTTACTTTTCACTTTCACTTTGGTCCTTATAAGTATTAGCCGTTAGTGTTTTCTGTTGGATGAAATAGAATAATGTATCAAAAGACCAAATTACCCTACAAATTAAATGATTTTGGACCCTATAGTTTTGGTTTTGGTCTACCTGTTAAGGACACAATTACTTTTTACTGACAAAATCGTCCTTCAACTTGACATTCGTTAGAGTAATACTAACAGGAAAGGGACATGTCATTATTAGACCTGGCAAAACCGCGGGTTGGACCGTACCCGGGTAAAAAATATAGGGTACGGGTCTAATTTTTTAAACCCATTTTTTGAGACCCATACCCGTACCTGGCCCAAATACACACGGTTTATACGGGTGAACCCGCGAGCACCCGTATTTGCACTAATGAATTTGAATCCCTAACAGTAACCCCGAATTTTGTCACACATTCAGCCATTCATGCAGTCACGCCTCTCACTCTCAGTCTCATCTCATCTCTGATCTCTCACTCTGATCTCATCTCTGATCTCTCACTCTTAGATTCTCAGTAACTTTATCGCGGCCGCATCTCAATCTCTCATCATTCTTCTTTGTCTGAAGTTCAACTCCCTGTCTCGGTGTCTCCATCTTCGATTAATAGTCAGTCCGTCACTTGTCGTCGTCAGTCATTCCCATTCCCAGTACCACAGTTGCCGGTCGCCGTCACTCATCCTCGTCGGCTGGTAATGAATCCCTAACCCCTAATTTTGTGTGTTTGTTTTTGTTTTTTTGACAGATTTTGTGTTTTCTTTTTTGTTTGAATGGTTAATATTTTGTATTTTAATTTTTGTTTGTGAGATTAACGTTGTTTACACGTATATTGTTGTCTAGTTGAGCTTTCCCTGTACGTAGATCTGTGTAGAGTTGTTTTCGTTGAGTGTGTTTGTGTTGGGTTCCCTTGGTTGATGGGTTTTGCAAGTGGGGTTTACTTAAATGTACAAGGGATGTATACTGGAATCAATTATTATTGGTTATGTGTATTTGCTAGTCACTAAAATTTATATTTCCAAAACTGCTTTTCCTTAAAAATATTGACTGATGTCTTTGCATGTTAATGATCCTTGCATGTTAAAGTTTTGATTTGCTTTTCATGTATTATGCAAAGAAATTGATATTAAACATGATGTTGTGGGATGTTAGTTCCATTGCTTTCGGCTACTCTGTCTCTTGATGATGTTGTTGGAAATTTTTGTGTGCATAAATATATTTTCGGCTGGACAAGATATTAGAAAATGCTTGAGTTGGTTCTTCTTCTTAATTGTTAAGCTTGCTGGAGGTTATATTAGAAAATGACTTAATAGTGTTTTTAATTCAATGTTTTGTTGGACATCCTATTTGCTTACACTCGGCTAGGATATAGTGGGAAGTTGGTTGAATTATGTTTGGCTACTGGAATCTTTTTGTAAGCATGAAATTTTGCTAGTTTATGCTGCTGCATGTTGAATTTGAGTTTTAAAATGGAATGTAATTTGCTTGCTAATTGAACTTGCATGCATTTGGTTGTTTCAATAAATTGTGATGTTGGCTGGATACTTTAATTGCATGCACTCGGCTGGACATCATTTGGGAGATGCTTGAGTTATGTATTTGATTTAAGGGTTGGTTGGTTGAATACACTTGCATGCTCCCAGCTGGAATGTCTTTGAGAAAATTGATTTCATGGTGTTTTAAAATGCTGGAAGTTAAGGCAATTTGAGTGGAAATTGTATTGAGTTCTTGAGTGCTGCATTTTAAATATTCAGTGGCCCCTTTTTATTTCCATGAGATAAACATTTTCGCATGCATAACATAATTCATTACTTTTTGATATATATATACTTTGATTATATTATCTGCATATGTGATCAAATTAGAGTTTGACATGTTATATGTAGTGTTAATTGATGGATATAGGGCTTCGGTTTTGGATTTAATTAAATTGGTGTTTGGGGTTCAATGAAGTGAGTGTATAGACATTGAATAAACTTGAGAAAAACAATAGGTCCTTAAAAGTATTTTAGACAAGGCACTGGATGTTGAATATCTAAATAAGTGTGGCCATTTCAAAAATAAAAAAAGTTCAATTCTTCAGAACTAACATGTTAACGTAATATTTCTTATATTTTATTATTTACATTTATTAATATTTGTAGTTGATCATTGTTTTGTAGATGATTCGGATGATGATCTTGATGTGCCATTGACTGATCTCGAGACTGTGGAATCAAGAGACTCTATCACAACCACTATGGGATAAACATTTAATGTCCTAAGAATGTTTTTTGTTGAATATTGGATTATGTATTTGTTTATTTTAGTTGGTATTTATAGTTTATTGACTTATTTTGTTTGTTTATGTGTAATTGTGTATTAGTGATTTTGTATTTGTTTATTTTGGTTGATATTTGTAGTTTTGTATTATATGTTATTGTTTGTTTATGTGTTATTTGTTTATTTTGGTTCCTATTTGTTTATATTCTTAATTGAATTGAATTTAGAGTAGTTGATTTAGGGGGTGTAAATGTAAAATATTAAAACGGCAGGAATTTTGGGGGTGTAATTGTTATAATTGAAAACTGTTATGGGTGAAATGTAAAAACTAAAATCTGGAGAGAGAAAAAAAGGGTTCACCCGCGAGTCCACCCGCACCTGTATAGGGTAGGGCACGGGTCCAAAATATTGGACCCATATATATCGACCCGTATAAGGGTCCGTACCCATTTGACGCGGACCGTACGTGGCCCACTCACCCGTTTTGCCAAGTCTACATGTCAAGGACTATTTTGTCAGTTGAAAATAAAGGTGTTTTCAATTATAGTTGACCCAAATCATAGGGAGAAATGATGATTAATAAGATATATTAATTAAGATTATATAATTTACTATAATTAAGATAAAGTTCTTTTTAAAAAATAATTCTATCACTTTATCAATTCTCTTCCCAATAATTAAAATACAGTTTTAAAAAAGAAAATTTGAGGTGTCAAGAATTGTTAGCGGACTTAAACCATAGAGACTAATAGATTTGTTTGTTTACGGGATGATTTTGCTATTAAAAAATAAAAGTGTCCTTTATTTAGTAAGGGTATAAGAGTAATACTATATATATAAACTTTTCATAAGACTCGTCCATACAAATTGATGTAGCTATTTTGCATGTTTGACTTTTAATTTATTTGTTTAATTTATCTCTAATTTAAAATCACCTAAATACGTTTTAATACATTAGTTTGTATGAATGAGTTTGTATAAAAAGTTTATATATATAATATTATTCTAGTCCCCAAACCATAGGGTCTAATTTATAATTAACCTCATTGTTTTTACTTTTTTACTATAATACGTTATACCAATTTCAGATACTACAATGGTAATAATTGAGTGGTTTTATTTAACACCTACCTAAACTCTTTTTAAGCTCTAGAGTCAATTAAATTTAAATATATTTTATTTTATTCCAAAATTAACCTTTTTTTAGTCTTTTTTTTTTTTTTTAACCTCTCTAGTTTCCTAATCTTTTTAATATTTATCTTCTTTCTTAATCCTTTACATTTCTCATTTATTTAATCATGATTAATAAACAATATATTTGTTCAAAAACATTTCCTTCTTTATTTTTTTCCTTTTTTTTCTTTTTTTTTTTTGGAAAATGAATAAAATTTTAATCCAATATACTTGCGCATTAGAAAAGTTATAAAAACTCATAATACATATAACAAAACGGAGGTTGGATAAAATATTTCAGAAGAAAAAAAGTTTGACAAATAAAAAACAAAATTAGAAAAAGTATAATTTTAAAATAAAATTAAAATCTATTTCTTGTTTCTGTAGAGTGGAGAGGAATATTCTTCTGACATTATCTATTGAGCTGCAAAGCAAGTTAAGCAACCCATCAAGCAAAAGTCAATGGATGAAGAAGCAGTCAATCGTCCACTAGTCTTGGTTCATCGACCACCAAACTTTCACTTCCCATTCAGACACCGTTTAGCAACTCAGTTCAACCTTTTCGATCCCCTTGACTCACCCGATTCAACTCGCTCTTCCCTCCTTTGCCGCCATGCCCACAACATAAGGGCCCTTCTTTGCGTGGACCCCACACCCGTCTCCTCCGACCTCCTGTCTCTCCTTCCAGCCTTGGAACTCATTGTGGGCTCCACGGTCGGCGTTGATCACATCGACCTCCCCGAATGCCGGCGACGTGGCGTTACTGTTACTAATGCTGGCGTTGCATTCTCTGAGGATGTCGCTGACTTAGCGGTTGGCCTCTTGATCGATGTTTTACGAAAAATTTCTGCCGGTGACCGCTTCCATCGAGCCTCCTCCTGGGCTAAAACCGGTGATTACGCGCTGGGCTCTAAGGTTTAACCTTACTCACAATTGGGTCGGAATTTCGTTGAATTTCTTGGATTTTTGTTGCAATTAAGGTTTAACCCTGTTAAATTTACCTAATGAATTCATGCTTTTATGTAGATTCTTTTCTACTGGAAGTGGGATTTGCTATGCTACGCTATGTTTTAGTTCAGAGTGACAATGTTGCAGTTTTATATAAGAGATTTTCATATACCAATATATATAATATATTTTACTAAAACAATGTAGAATTTGATACGAATAATTTGCTTCTCAATGGGTATGATTTATTGATTATGAATTTATTGTTTCAGTTAGGAGGAAAGCGAGTTGGGATGGTGGGGATGGGAAAGATTGGCTCTGAAGTTGTAAAAAGACTTCAGGCCTTTGGCTGCATCATTTCTTACAACTCCAGAAGGAAGAAATCAGCTATCGCATTCCCTTATTACGCAGACGTCTATGAGCTTGCAGTGAATAGTGATGTGCTTGTTGTTTGTTGTGCACTTACGGAAGAAACTCACCATATAATCAACAAGGATGTAATGACAGCTTTGGGAAAGGAAGGAGTGATAATTAACGTTGGACGTGGGGCTCTCATTGATGAAAAGGAAATGGTGAAGCTTTTGTTACGTGGTGAGATTGGTGGTGTTGGTCTTGATGTGTTTGAAGATGAACCTCATGTGCCAAAAGAGCTATTTCAATTGGATAATGTTGTGTTGTCTCCCCATTGCGCAGTTGCTACTCCAGAATGCTTTGATGCATTGGAGGAGCTGATTGTGTTTAACTTGAAGGCTTTCTTTGCAAATAAACCCTTGTGGTCAGTGGTCAATCTTGAGTGAAGGGACTATTCATTTAGTTTGGTAATGGCTTTTGAAAATCATTAAACAGAAAACCAACATTGGTTCACAGCAGGTAGAGTGATTCATCAGTTGAAAAACTGATATATTGAATCATTCAACACCTGAAGTTTATGTCTTCCAGTACTTGTTAATGAAACGCAAGTATGACTTAAAATAACGGTATTAACTGAGACTGATGGAAGATATTTTTTTCTTTTTTGTAATAACAAAATTTAACAAACTTTGTTATTAGCTTCTGAATGTTTGAAACTTAAAGTATGCTTCTCCTTATCATTAATTTTCTAATAATCTCATCAGCATCGCCCTCAACAATAATTAGATACAAACATTTTAAAGAAATAAAGAAATAGAATAGAACTTTGAATCCAAAACCTTGAATCTAGAGGTTCTCTAAGTTCTTATATATATGTTTACAAGCATAATCAAGTGCATGACCAAATGGATTGTAATCCATAATTTACCCTTTACAAAAATAAAAGTAAAAATACACACATAAGAACCAGAACTAAAAACTTTTACAAATCAATATAGATTCAATCAAGAGATATTTTGTCAAGTCTTGATTTGATATGGAGAAGATTGGTATGGTAGGGAATGACAAGATTTGGTAGCTGCTCGTTTGACCTATTACAATTTTTCAGATAATTTGAATTTCCATTATTAACATGACATTTAACAATGCTATAGAAGTCCAAGTCAGTATAGCATTATTGACAATTTATAACACTTTACTTTTCACTTTCACTTTGGTCCTTATAAGGATAGCGTTAGTGTTTTTTGTTGGAGTAAATAGAATAATGTATCAAAAGACCAAATTACCCTACAAATAAATGATTTTGGAACTATGGTTTTGGTTCTATTTTAAGGACACAATTACTTTACTGGCAAAATATCCTTCAACTTGACATACGTTAGAGTAACCTAACAGCAAAGGGCCATGTCATGATGTCAAGGACTATTTTGCCAATTGAAAATAAAGGTGTTCTCAATTATAGTTGGCCCAAATTAGGGAATAATGAATTAATTAATAAGATATATTAATTAAATTTATATAATTACATAATTAAGATAAAGTTTTTTTTTTTTTTAAAAATTCTATCACTTTATCAATTCTCTTCCAATATTAAAATGCAAGTTCTAAAAAAAAAAAAAAAATTGAGGTGTGTCATGAATTGTTAGAGGACTTAACCATAGGGACTAATAGATTTGTTTGTTTACGGGATGATTTGCTATTATAAAGAATAATGCACCCTTACCCACTCTCTTACCACTTTTCTTACTTACTTTTATATATAGTATAGTACGGGTACTATACGCAGAGTATGGTTACCATATATTATTTAACAAAGTGAGTAAGAGAAAGTGAGTAAGGGAATGAGTAAAGATAGCATTTTCCATTATAAAATAAAAGTGCCCTCTTTTCAGGGGTAATGCTATGGCTAATAGATTCTATAAACAGTATACTAACTTAAAACATAGTACGGATACCATGTGCATAAATAGGTACTTGATTTTAATAAAGGTTATATATTAGTTAGTAAAATCTGTAGTCTTATAGTATTATTCTATTTCAGTAAGGGTAGAAAAATAATACTATATACTCCCTCCGTTTTATATAGTTTTAAATTTTTACACAGTTTTTAAGGAATCAAAAAGTGTGCATAGGATTGACTTTTTGGTGAAAAATTTTGTTTCACTTTGCAACGTGTGTGAGACAGATTGTAAAAGAGAGGAGATGAGGAAAGAGAAAGATAAAAAGAGAGAGAGGAGTGTGAGGAAAGGTGAAGAATGAGGGAGTGTGCATTGAAAGAAGAGAACGTTAATTTAGTTTTTTTTTTTTAATACAAATCTACCCGGATTATTTTATACTATATGTTGATATAAATTTTTTAGTTTGTATCGAGGGGAGTATATTATAGTAGTTGCATCTAAATCCATGGAGAAACTAAAAAAAATCTTCTGTGTCATCAGTCTTGCACACAAATACTTTGACTAAAATCCTTTTATCTACATAACACGTATAGAAATATTAAAAAAAAAAAGGATTAAAACTTTAAGCTTTAAATCAAATCCTGATGAAATTGTATAAACGGGATTTCAACCTAAGAACTCTGTACAACCTAAGCTGTTATAATCAGCCCAAGTGTCTAAAATCCACACTACAAATAAAAGATACCTTTCAAGATGGCGACTTCAGCGGACTCCTTGGTCTTCATATTGACGTTGAGAAGAAAACTGCGAATTTGAGGAGATACAAAATCTAAATAAGCGTTTGGCTTTTGAGTTCTTCCTCTTCTTCTTGCAATGCAATGAATAAAACTACTATCCTTATACAAATTACTAATCACATTACCATCAATTCTTCCATATATATATATATATATTAATGGCGAGAATTTCTTTTCTCCACAAATAACAATCCCTTTGAAGCTGCTAATAAGATTTCTAGAATCTATAATTTAATGATTTTTAACTTTTGTTTTATTATTTTCCTTGCTTGTTAAGTTTTGCTCATACAATTTCACAGCTGGGGGCTTAGGGTTTAAGTCAGATGAGACGATTTGATCATAGAACTCAAAGATCACATATAAAGTGGGACCGCTTTTCATTTTCAAGACTGAATGATAAATACAATTCTAGACGATCAAATTTAATATAGTAAATAGGAGACGATGAGATCGGAGAGCGTGAGATTTGGGCACCACATGATTTACACTGAGCAGGGGTACAGATAATCATATGTCCAGATAGAACCTTCGTATCGTATGCATATGTTTATGTTAGCAAAGGATATCGTGTTTGAAATTATTACAGTGCAATGCGCGTAGGGTGGCATTGCTTTTTTAAGAATGCAATTTTATAGTACATGTATTATAAACAATTGTATAGGTAAGACTACCGAGATATGAATCAAATGACTGTATTGGAGAATAATAGCACAAGTCTAATACATTCATGACGACCCCAAATCCATATACACCCTTCTCTCACTTTCTTTGACACTCTCTCACTTTATGCACAAACACGTCAAAAAGTGAAGTTACCATTTGTAGCCTTTGACTCTTGTTGTTTTAGAAGATGTCACAACCACAATACTCACTCTTCAACTGTACAATTTTATAACAACACCATTCAATAGCCTATTATAATCGAAGAAGCGATGATGAAAACATGAATTTGCTTTGGATGAAGAAACTGTCTCAATTCCGGTGCCTACGTTTCAGCCTTGCCGTTGCAATTTTCCAAGCTTCACCTTCCTCTTGTATTAGTTAATGAAAATAATGTTTTCATCTTTTTTATTTATTAATTCATGACAATTTAAATTCTAAGCTTTTTGAAAAACAAGAAAAAGAAATGGAAAGTGGATAAAAAGGTGACGGACAATGAACTGAAAGTAAATAAAGCAAGAAATTAAAGGCTATGTTGAGGGACCGGAACTTAGAAATAGCGGGAGAATGATAGCGTCTATAAAATGGTCCTAATTAAGGCTTAATTACTATAATTGACAATGCGTTAGTTCTCATCCAATGATGCATACTTCTTTGTATTAGTACTTCCTTAATCATAGAATGATTTTTGAACTAACTAGTATGAAACGCACCTCAACCCATAATGAAATAAGTAATTTTGTTAAAAAAAATAGTGTAATTGATTTTGAAATAGAATTACTATTACATTTAAGAAAATTTAGTTTGAATCAAGACCTTGGAGGAGAAAAATAGATGAAGTTGTGGTATATTCGAAGTAATTATAAAATAAAAATAAAAATAAAAAAATTATTAAGTCATTATGCAAGTATTGTAGAGAGTAACATATTAAATCAAGCAATTTTTAACCTTTAAGCGGTTAGCCTAATGGTCAAGAAGGTTTGCTCCCTTCATTGACTTCTCGAGTTCAAAGTTCAAACCACCTTAAGATTATCTACTATATTTGTAACTTACTTGGAACATTGGACTTATAAAGTGTTCAATAGGTCATAAGGATTAGTTGAGGTATGCGCAAGCTAGCCCGGTTACCCCGGTTATAAATAAAAATTAAGCAACTCCTAGTTGGAAATCAACTACAAGTATACATGCAAATTCTATTTAGATTTTAATAACAACTTAAAGTTAAATATTAAAATCTGACAAGGACTAAACAGAAGATATAAACCTAAATCTACTGCATTATTGTTAGCTTGAAATGATACATATAGCTAGATTCATTGCTTAAGAAGGCGTGTTTATTATTAATCATAAGAAGCTAAACAACTCGTATCCAAGCTTCATGAACAAGACAAGGTTTAGATCCAGTAAGAAAGCCATGAAGAGAATAAGCTCTTACCACTAGAATTGTTTGAGACCTTTCAATTGTTGTATTTGTGTCCATGAACACAATGTTGCTTTTATAGTGCAGTTCTAATCTATTACTGCTTTACTTGTTAATGAAACGCAACGTATGACTTAAAACTAACGGTATTAACTGAGACTCTGACGGAAGATATTTTTTTTTCTTTTTGTAATAACAAAATTTAACAAACACTTCTGTTACTTAGTCTTAAGTGATATTTGAAACTTAAAGTATGCTTCTCCTTCATCATTAATTCTTCTAATAATCTCATCAGCATCGCCCCTCAACAACTAGTATTAGATACGAACATTTTAAAAGAAATAAAGAAGATAGAATAGAACTTTGAATCCAAAACCTTGAATCGTAGAGGTTCTCATAAGTTCTTTATATATATGTTTACAAGCATAATCAAGTGCATGACCAAAGGGATTGTAATCCCATAATTTACACCTTTACAAAATTATAAAAGTAAAAGATACACAATTAAGAACCAGAACTAAAAAATCTTTTACAAATCAATATAGCTTCAATCAAGAGATATTTTGTCAAGTCTTGATTTGATATGGAGAAGATTGGTATGGTAGTGGAATGACAGATTTGGTAGCTGCTCGTTTGACCTATTACAATTTTTCAGATAATTTGAATTTCCATTAATTAAACATGACATTGTTAACAATGCTTATAGAAGTCCCAAGGTTATAGCATTATTGACAATTTATAACACTTTTACTTTTCACTTTCACTTTGGTCCTTATAAGGATCAGTCGTTACTGTTTTTTGTTGGATGAAATAGAATAATGTATCAAAAGACCAAATTACCCTACAAATCAAATGATTTTGGACCCTATGGTTTTGGTCTACTTGTTAAGGACACAATTACTTTTTACTGGCAAAATCATCCTTCAACTTGACATACGTTAGAGTAACACTAACAGCAAAGGGCCATGTCATGATGTCAAGGACTATTTTGCCAATTGAAAATAAAGGTGTTCTCAATTATAGTTGGCCCAAATCATAGGGAATAATGATAATTAATTAATAAGATATATTAATTAATTTTATATAATTTACTATAATTAAGATAAAGTTTTTTTTTTTTTTTAAATAATTCTATCACTTTATCAATTCTCTTCCCAATAATTAAAATGCAGTTCTAAAAAAAAAAAGAAAAAAATTGAGGTGTCATGAATTGTTAGAGGACTTTAACCATAGGGACTAATAGATTTGTTTGTTTACGGGATGATTTTGCTATTATAAAAGAATAATGCTACCCTTACCCACTCTCTTACTCACTTTCTCTTACTTACTTTTATATATATAGTATAGTACGGGTACTATACGCAGAGTATGGGTACCATATATTATTTAACAAAAGTGAGTAAGAGAAAGTGAGTAAGGGAATGAGTAAAGATAGCATTTTCCATTATAAAATAAAAGTGCCCTCTATTTTCAGGGGTAATGCTATGGCTACTAATAGATTCTATAAACTAGTATACTAACTTAAAACATAGTACGGATACCATGTGCATAATATAGGTACTATGATTTTAATAAAGGTTAATATATTAGTTAGTAAAATCTGGTAGTACTTATAGTATTATTCCTATTTTCAGTAAGGGTAGAAAAATAATACTATATACTCCCTCCGTTTCTATATAGTTTTAAATTTTTACACAGTTTTTAAGGAATCAAAAAGTGTGCATAGGATTGACTTTTTTGGTGAAAAAATTTTGTTTCACTTTGCAACGTGTGTGAGACAGATTGTAAAAGAGAGGAGATGAGGAAAGAGAAAGATAAAAAGAGAGAGAGGAGTGTGAGGAAAGGTGAAGAATGAGGGAGTGTGCATTGAAAGAAGAGAACGTTACTTATATTTTGAAACAAATTATTACCCTCAAAACAATATTTATATAAAAACGGAGGGAGTATATAAAACTTTTAATACAAATTCATCCATACAAATTGGTGCTATTATTTTGCATGTTTGACTTCTATTTTATTTATTTTTAATTTAAAATCATCTAATTATATTTTAATATACCAATTTGTATGAATGAGTTTGTATATGTAATATTATTTTAGTTATAAAAATAAAAGTGTCTTGACAATGGACCCAAACCATAGGGTATAATTTATAATTAACTCATTATTTTTACTTTTTTACTATAATACGTATACCAATTCCAGATACTACAATTATAATAATTGAGTGGTTTTATTTAACACCCATCTAAACTCTTTTTAAGCCCAAGAGTCAATTAAATTTAAATATATTTTATTTTTAATTTATCTTCTTTCTTAATCCTTTACATTTCTCATTTATTTAATCATGATTAATAAACAATAGATTTGTTCAAAAACATTTCCTTCTTTATTTGTTTTCCTTTTNATTGATTTTGAAATTGAACTACTATTACATTTTAGAATATTTAGTTTGAAAATGTAGTTTTAATAATATGATAATGAAAAAAGGTCTTAAATTCATTAGTCACTAATACTAACAACTTCTTTCTTTCTGGTTTAAAGATGTCTGGCATTTCAACACACAACCAAGTATAAGTTAGTGATATACTAGATCTTGAGGTAATTTTAATGGTCATAGTTCTACAATTTGTTTAATTCTTGCATTTCTACTGTGCTCATGGTTTCTATTATGTTCTAATTTGGAGATTGATTTGATACTCTACAGACAAAACGAAAAAGAGAAAGTTTTGGACAAAATGTAAATGGCTGTGCACATTATCTCTAATGTAACATTATTGCATCAAACAGTGAGTTGCAGTGGATGCATCAAGCATGAGTTGGTCTCTGCTCTATAAGTGCCCATCTTCCCGGAGGTTATATTCAATAAAGCTGGAATAATCTGATACTGAGAAAGAAGTTAATTTCCTCATTAAAGAAGTCTCTAGATTTTTCTGGGTAGTCATATGCTAATAATGATCTAAACTTCTATTTTACTGGTTGTTCAGTAGTTCGATCTGTAGATGAGTTGTAAAAAATGATGGCTTTCTTTCACTACAGAGCTGCCAAGCCAACCTGTTTGAATGGTGTTGAAAGAGCCAAGAAATGATCCCATCTGTTATCATCAACAATCCAATAGAACTGAAAGTAATAATTGTATAGCATATGCCTAATTTATTATATGTCAATTGGACAGTTAAGATATGTGGTTTTAGCTCAATCATTCATTCTTGGGATATTGAGTTTATAGTTATATTAATTACTGGTTACTTGGTTAGGGGGAAAACTATCAGCTAAAATGTAAGACATTAAGCATCATATTCACAGAGTTGATGATCTTAAAAGGCTAAATCTCTTATTATGCTTATCTCTGTGTTCCTTCCACCTTCCTCTAATATAATTATCACATGTCCAGCTTCAATTTTGAAGAAATCAGCTCAAATGACTGCATACTTTGTTTAGAAAATATGACTTGAATAGGAGATACGATATATATAAAGAGGGTAATAAAACAATCACACACACATAAGAATACCAAATTTACATGGTTCGGCAAAATAATGCCTACATCCACGGGATACGAGTCAAATGACTGAATTGGAGAATGATAATACAAATTTAATACACTCACATTAAATACAAACCCAAACCCTCGTACAACCATCTCTTACTTTCTTTGTACACTCCCACTTTATGCACATAAATCCCAAAAGTGAAGTCCTCATAACTCACAATACGCACTCTTCAACTATACCATATTGTAACATCAATCACCAGCCCATATATAATGGAAGAAGTAGTGATGGTGGAAACATTAATTTGCTTTGGTTGAAGAAACCGTACTCTCAATTCCTTTGCCTACAATGTTGCCCTGCCACTGCAATTCTTCAGGCTTCACATTCCTCTTATCATCTCAAGAAGCTCATGGTTCCATGGCGGCATGATGAGGTCCCAAGTTTGTGAAGCAATGATCTAGTGGTTTGTGGCTTTAACCCTCTTCAGATTTCTCCAGATCTCTAGCCATGTTGGTATTAGTGAACTTAATTTTCCAACCCTGCAGCTAGATCACCTGCAAAACAAAGAAAAATAAAATATGAAATTGACACAGTTGTAAAAATACGCGCAACAATTGATACAAGAGTACAATTACAACTGACAAATTTCTGCAATTATGTGATGTTTTTCAATCTCATCCATTTGCTTCAAGAGATTTCTTGCCCTGTCTTCCCTTTTCTTTCTTTCTACAAGTTTTTGATTAACAAGGGACAAATATCAATATTTGTGTTGCAACTAGGCAAACCAACAGCAAATAACACAACTTTAAGAGCATTTCTATTAAGAATTACTTGAGGGATGTGAGAACTTTTTGTTGATTTGGTAATGGCCTTGAACTTATTAGATCCAACAAGCCTTCTCTGACAAAATTTATAAGCAGGGCACCTCCTGATCTCTAAAGTTCAAGAAATAAGTTTTAGAGATTTTTACTTTCTTTGATCCTACAAAAAAGACATGAGCTTGTCATTGTTTCAAAGATCTCAAAATGTACAAGAAATTTCTATCCAAGTTGGAAATGTCTTACCACCATAGAAACCGATTGATCACAAGCTACTGTAGAAATGACATAAGCTAGACATCACACCATTGAAGTTGTGTTGATTTCATCTCGACATTCTTAGGATTCACCTTGAATATTAACAAACACAAATTAAGAAGACATACTTTCCTAGAATAAAAGGACAATGATGGTGGGAAAATGTAAGAATAAGACTACATCAGAGGATTAAGAAAGAATATCTCACGTGCTTGCGTTAGATGAACATTGATTGGTTGTTCGACTTTAGTAGGATATATAAAGGTCTATTACTTGTTTTCTTCTCATCATTTGGTGGACCCCATATGCAAATCCAAGAGTAAGGTACAAAATGTGCAATTAGTATGCGCAACAGAAATGATTTGTGATCTTGTTAAAAGTTTAGATATATAAAAATAGTGTCGAATATGCTTGCATGAAGATGGGGAAGGAAAATTTTAAGCCCTCCAATGATTCCTACAATGTTAATCTAAGTGTACGGATCCCGCATAGAATTGTTTGCACAAAGAAAGTAAACAATTATTCCTTTAATAAGCTAAAAAAAATCCAGATGCATTTCACAACATCTCTTTGCCCAAAACAAAAACAATGAGACAACAATAAAGAAACTATACACAGAAGCAGAAATGCACCTTAATTAACAACTGCAACAGTTAGAAGCTCCAAACTCTATACTGTAATTTCAGTAAGGAATCCAAAGCTCCAAACCTGAACCTGAAGCCAGGATTTAGGTTTTAAAAGTGCAAGTAGACATGCCAGTTATTATCCAAAATGCCATACTCTACTTCTGAAACTAGAGCAATTGTTCACTTGCTTCTTGCTGGAGGAAAAAAGTTGATAAAAATACTAAACTAAGTTTCATGTATTAAGTGTTAAATTCAACCAGAAATGAGATTGACATGAAACATACAAGTACCTTAAGAACCTCCAATCTGAGAATCTTGTTGACACTTGCTTCTAAATGTTCCTACCCAAAATTGTAGAAGCATAAAAATATAAGCCAAAATTGTATAATCTGCATCTAATGTCAAAACTCACACAAACTACGCAATAATATTATCTAATTTGTTATTCAAAGACCCTCTCAGAAGTTGAAAAATGAAACAAGAACATGAAGAGTTTACTTGTATTAAGAATTCCAGAAATTAGAAATTGTCCAAGTTAAATTTTTTCTTTTCAAGTTACCTTTCACCCACAACAGTGCCCAATTGCAGAATGGTACAGAGATTACAATCAATTTACTTCAAAAAAAAAAAAGAAAAATTATAAAATCAATCATAAATATTTGTGACAGTGAATTTATATTGTATTGGGAAAAAAAACCTAGAAAATAGTAGAGGTGAAATTAAGAAAATGACGAACCTTGAATAATGAGATGATTCTCCGGAATAAGATGATTCATTGCTTTCTTACTCCTTTAAATGTCTTTTAAATCTCTCCCACTTTATGCACAAAAATCCCAAAAGATGGAACTTTCTTCTACAGTCTTTGGCTCTTATTATTTAACAAGACTTTACAACTCAAAACAGTCACTCTTCACCGATTTTCTTCAAGAATTAGTTTTCTCTGGATGAAGAAACTGTCTCGATTCCAGTGCATACATTGCTGCCTTGCCACTGCAATTAATCAAGCTTCACATTCCTCGTATCATGACAATAAGTTTACGTAAGGAGCCATGGTGATTGAATGGAGCCCCCAAGTTTGTGCAGCAATAACCTAATGGTTTGTGGCCCTGACACTCTTCAGATATTCTTCAAATCTCTATCCAGGTTGGTGTTATTGGCGAAATCATCTGCAAAAGAAAGAAAAGATTTATGAAAAGACAGCCGAGAAAATATGCAAAACAGTCAATAAAGTACATTTCAATGCAAGTGTATCAACTACTGCCACCTACGAATTACAAATTTCTTAAGTGAAGACTAGAAGTGAATGGGTAAATCATGTATATTTACCTTATCCAGTTTCTTCAAGAGACTTCTTGCCATCTATCCTCTTAAATGGACATGGATTATTTTGGAATATTGGTCTTCCCTTTTCTTTCTTCCACCAAGCTGTTAATTAACAAGGGACAAATTAACATCAATATGGGCACTGCAACTAGGCAAACCAACAGCCAAAAATGCAACTTGAGAAGATTCCTGGTAAGAAATTACTTGGCCGTACCTAAAAAAAATAAAAAAAGGAATTTAATTAAAGTTAAAAATTTCTTTCAGTGGCCTTACCTAAAAGTCAAACTCCGAATCTGGATTTAATCTATCCAATTGTCCAACTGAAAAAAGTATAAAATGAACTTAGTTTTATCATAAGGTATCAAGTTCAAGTTAATTAAACTTAATTTAATCAACACAAGTTGCATAAATTACCTGCACGAAGTACCACAATGATTGTCTCCCTGATGATTATCTGGCAAATTAAAAAAAGAGAACTTATTAATATTTGAAATTAAGGCAGAGGATAAAAACAATACTATGTTAATATAAAAAAAAATCTGGTAATAGTGAAGGTGTAAGTAAATGACAAACCTTGGATGAAACTAATGATTATCTGACTGCATCCTTTGAATTCAATTAATTAAGCTCAATTCTTCCTACTCTGAATCGCTTCCTTCTTCCTCCTTGGAATTGAAAATGAATTTTCCATCTATTTGAACATTAGGGATGTGAGCTATCTTTGAGGAATACTTTCCTTTACCTCTACTCCACTGTTTTTTTAGCAAAGGACATTGGTCAATCTGTAACCTCAGAAGTGAGGTGGGCAGGCTTGGCAAGGATTTGAGATTTGAGCAATCCAAAATACTCAAGATTTGAAGAGAAGTGAGGCTTCCCAGGCATGCAGTTGTTTTAAGATTTTGGCAATCCGAAATACTCAAGATTTGAAGAGAAGCAAGGCATTCCAGACATGCAATTGATTTGAGATTTCGGCAACTCCAAATTCCAAATTCTTCAAGGGAGGTGTGGCTTCCCAGTTCTGGAATTGATTTGATCTTTGGGCAAAGGCTAATGGAGAAGCTTTTAAGTGATACGAGGCTTCTTAGGTCTGGAATTGACTCGAGATTTGGGGAATCCGCAATGTTCAATAATTTAAGAAAGGAGAGTGTGCCCAAGTCTGAAATAGATCTGAACGGTGCGAAATTATAGATGTCCAAAGATTCGAGAGAACGGGCATTCGCTGGTTTTCCGATAAAATAAGCCCTGGATCTTCAAATCCATGAATGACAAGATGTTTAAGAGAGGGGAGATTGTGTAATCCCCATCTAATCAATGTCTTACTCATTTCGACATCCCGTCCAATGCAAAGATATGTTAAGCTGGTTGGAATACCTTCTATCGGTAACGACACAAAACAATTATGTATTATTAACTGTTGAAGACCAGTAAGATTCTGTAGGCCGAACAACCTATTGGATTCAAGATTTTGAAGACCCCATAAATAAATAGATTTAAGACGGGGGCTATTGTGAATTGCCTCTTCTATTGACTTCAGCTTTGGACAATCAAAAATATAGAGGTCATCAAGTGTTTCATGTAGGCACCACCTTCTTGATAATGTTGTGAGATTTGGACAGGTAGTAATTTGAAGACTTTTGAGTGTCTTAGGCAACAATTCTCTTGATGATAAGCACGTGAGAGATTCGCATGTATAAATCTTCAAGTACTCAAGAAGAGTAGAACTGATACCCTCCAAATGTTGTAATTTCTTACAAAATGATATCTCAAGCCTTTTTAGAGACGAAGGGAGTGTATTTCTTGCAATGAATAATAGAGAATCACAAGAAGAAATTGTCAAACTTTCTATGTTGATTTGCTTCAATCTTTTCGGTAAAGATTTTAAAGCCTCACAATTTTCAAGCACAAGATCACTCAAATTAAGAGGAAAAATGGTGTTTAGAAATGAGATACTACTACTTCTTAAAGATAAGCTGTCAAGAGAGATGAGACTATGACTCCATTTTAGTGGCTTCTCAACACAAGTGAAATTTTGACTCAACCAATTTTCAGACTCTACAATATTTGGAAGAGATTCAGACTGAGGTGACATGAACTCAGTAGAACTACTAGTACACACCACTTGCTTGCACTCATCAATTTCTAATTTGGTGAGCTTTGGAAAACTTGAGAATGAAACCACCCACTTTGCACTCTTTTTAATGACAAGCTTTTCCAAGGAGGGAAGATGATCAACCAATTCTACATTAAGTTCCGGACATTCAATAATGGAAAGCTTACCAAGTTTTGGAAAACTTTCAACATTCTCATTTTCCCTTTTGGTGTCCCAATACTGGCAGTTTTCCAAATTCTCAAAACCAAGAATCTCTAATGAATTGTAAGGAATTCGCATATCTATTCTTTCTAGTTTCGGCATCCCTTTGATGACTAACTCTTTAAGTGAGCTCAATAGGCTTTGTGAAGGCAAATTCAAGCAATTTTCACAATTTTCTAATCTAAGGACCGTCAATTTAGAGAACGATGACAAAGTGCTTAACCAAGATGGAAATACTAAACCACCATAGGATCTAATTGTTAGTTTTTCTAGATTGCTATGAGGTTTCAACATTTCAAGCACATCCTCTACTACTCTCTCTACTTTTGAGCCATCAAATTTGGATCCCCACTCTAATAACAACATTTTTAAATCTTTTTTATTGCTTAATATAGGCCCACCCATTTGCGTTACACTATTCACATTCTCTAATTTGGAAATGTGAAGCTTTCCTTGAAGAAAGCTTAAGCTTTTCAAATCTTCCAAATTCAAGCTCGGTTCCTTCCCAACAATAAAGTTAGTCAACATTCGGAGATTTTTCAACTCTTTCATTCTTGACGGCATCTCTTTCAATGAATTTTGACCACTTATATCAAGATAATATAAATTGGTCAAATATCTCATGTTGCAAGGTAACTTTACAAGATAAGAACAATGTTTTAATAACAAAGTTTGCAAGTTAAATAATTGACTTGTTGACTCAGGCAAACTTTTGATCCTAGTGTAAGAAAAGTTGAGATATCTTAGATGAATCCAATTTCCAATTGAAGCAGGCAAATGAGTGATGTAGTATCTTTTCAAAGATAGTACTCTCAATTTTTTTATCATTGGCAGCAAATCAAAAAGAACCCCAGCAGTTATGTAATGGTCACTATAATTAGTTCCATACATATAATGAGGCCTTGTGAATACCGGCAAGAACGTTCTTAAACTCTTAAGTTTTTCCAAGCCTTCAAATTTCTTTTCTCCATTAAAATGATCAGGAATATAAGAAAAATGACGAATCTTTTTAACATTTTCTGGTAGTTTGATAGTGGCTTCCTCAGATCTGAGACTAAATTTTTTAGAAACCAATTCAGCTAGATTGTGGACAAGATCATGTTGTACATATTTAGAACCATTATTACTTGATTTTTGAAAAAACGACCTTAAACACAAATCATTAAAGTACTGACCTGCCACATCCAGTTGTGTATCACATGATTGAACAATACCTTCTGCCATCCATAAAAATACAAGTTGCTTTTCCTCGAATTCATGGTCTTCTGGAAAAACCGCGCAATATGCAAAACATCTTTTTAAATGCGAAGGAAGATAGAGATAACTCAACTTCAATACGGGGAGAACATCTTTTTCTTTGGATGAATTCCATATTTCGCTGTCTAATATTCTTTCCCAAGTATCAATGGGCTTAGAGTGTAGAAGACTACCGAGGGTCTTTGCTGCCAGAGGTAGACCACTACATCTTTCAAGAACTCTCTTGCAAATTGAATCGGTAATTAGATCAGCATCAGCAGCTGTACCAGTTGCAAGTGCATGCTCCTTAAACAAGGACCAACAGGCTTCTTTGGATAAAAGCTTTAAATGGTAAATATGGGAGCATTTTACTGGTTTTGCAACATCTTCACGGCGTGTCGTGATGATCATTGTACTTCCAGGTGCACCAGCTATGAAGGGAGACTTAAGCTGCTCCCATTTATTGTAGTCCACCTCCCATGCTTCGTCTAATACTACTAAGAATTTTTTGCTTTTTACCGCATTCTGCAGCTCAACTTGGACTCCATTTAAATCACTCGGAATGGAGAACGAGGAGCCATTTAATGATTCGAGAAGTGTCTTTGAGATTGTGAGAACATTAAAATTGTCTGAAACACAAACCCATGCTATTTTCTCAAACTTGAAATCTTCCCGCTGCAGCTTATTGTATATTTTCCGAGCCATCGTCGTTTTGCCGATCCCTCCCATACCAACAATGACAATCACGCGATAGTTGGCACTAGTTAGTTGATCGCTTTTCACGGCCATTTCAACTAGTTTGGCTTCATCTTCATCTCTTCCATAAACAAAATTTTCAGGTTGCACGCTTGAACTTTGCTCTGGTCTTGGTAGTAAAGTAGTTCTTGATGTCCCTGCAGAATTTACTTGCAATCCAAGATCAGTTCTCAGCTTGCAGAGTTGTTCAAAGCTGCTAGTGATGTCTTTGATCTTGGACCCCGTGTGGACGTTGAACAAGGGGCTAGTGAAACAAGAAGGGAGGTTGTTCAATCCCCTGCTAGAGCTAGCCCGGTGTTTTTCCTTTAGTTTGCGTTGCAAAGCTTCGTGGGCAAACTTATCCAGTATGTCCTCCGCATCATAAGCCCAGTCTTGAAGATCATCAAGCCACCTTTCCACAGCCCTATTATTATTCAGTTTTTTGTCTTCTGCGTCGCTGAGTAGGTCTTGAACCATCTCCAACATACGTTTCAGCTTGTCTAGCTCTGAATTTACCCCTCCAACAAGTTGCCGGGCAAAGTCTTGTACCTCACTGGATCCCAATTTCTCAAACAACCCATTAAAGAGTCCAGAGACAACGGGCTCAACCACAAATGCCATGGATTCAGTTATCGGAAACAAAAAAGGAATTTGGATATTGTCACAAATAAAGAACGATGACTTTATTATTTTCTTAGATTATTTTGAAATGCTATAGTATATCAGTTAATGAAATGTAGAATTAATGAGTCTTGAAAACAATGTTTTTAACTCTTTTATTTATTAATTCTTAACTATTTAAATCTAAGCTTTTTGGAAAACGAGAAAAAGAAATGGAGAGTGGATAAAAAATTNTAAGTTGTTACTCAATCTAATTTATTATTCTGGTCATTGGTCTAGTAACTGAATATAAATATATCTAGAATAACTAAGGTTGACACTATTTCTATTCCTCAGTCTCGATGAGATAACAGATGATGAAAGGATTTGATTGCACAGTAACCATATCATTGATAGTTATTTTGCTGAATTCGAATCTATTGGGTGGCCATGATGCCTTACTAGGGGCCAATCTTGGTCTGTGTGTAGTGAGACGATTAATTGATGTCAATCGCGATACTACTCACTACCGGTATGATGAGGAGCCTACATGTCACACATTAAGGAGACAATTTAAGGGTGGTTAACTATGGAAGGGTATTTTCATCCTTTAGGCAAAAGGGCATATTGGTAATTTTGCTATGTAATTAAATTTACTGAGGTTATAGCCTGTGTCCAATTTTATTGGAATAATTTAGCAAAATTACGAGTTTAATTATTGAAGTTAATATTAATATTTAATTAAATAATTAAACAAGGACCTATGTGTGATTCCACCTAAGTTTGGGTTGTTGCTAAACTTTAGGGGTGGAATTGATATTTGGCTTTTCTATATAAAGAAAAGCAAAATAGGTTTTGAGAAGAGAATTCATTCATTCACTTTTGCTTCAACCGTAAGAGTTAGAGTTTTGAGAGAAATATTTTTCTCTCTTCATCTCTTTTCACTCTTTATCCTTCCAAACTTTGAAACCTTAAAGCCAAGGATTGGTTCTAACAAAACCAATCTTTGGTCTCTGACGTACTGTCTTCATGTGGACAAAATGAGTTCGGTCCTACACTTGGATTGGTAGCGAGATCAGGTTCAGAGATATTGACAGAGCCTCTAAACGCTGGTATGATCCGATCCTCGTTTGGTTTTGTGTTATTTCAATTTAAGCATTTAAAATATATACATATCAGACCCTAATCATGGATTTATCAAAGTAATCAATGGGAAAATTTTTGTTTTCCATTGCGTTTACCCCATCAATTTACTTACGACTTCACCCAATCTATATTAACGGCTTTTGTCGAGTTAGAAGCCATTAGGATCGAATGCATGAACCATACTAGGCACATCTTAAACTTCTCTGAAGAGGTATACCCATCTTCTCCTAACCTCTCCTCTAAATCGCTTCCCGTAATAGACGGCTTCCCCCCCAAAACCTTTTTAGGCAAGTTATCGGTTGCCCTACTCTTCGTTATTCTCTCTTGCTCGTCCGCATCTGGAAATGTCTCACATCTTAAGCCTGTCATTAGGGCATATTCCATTATCCCAAAACATAGTGGCTTCATATCCACTACGAACCACATTTCATTTTTTTTTTTTTTGGCTTTTAACTGAGTGTACCAACATATAATGCACCCCCTGCCCTTAGATGCCTTCTTCCTATATTCTCTGATGTCCGCCAAATGACCTAAACAACTATCTTTGAATCAGTCCATACCCTTCCTTTGTTCCTCTAAAATCTCCTTTATTCTCATAAAAACCTACCATCTCGACCTAATTGTCACTCTTATGGGGAAGTAAGATACCTTATCGCGTACAACCTCTAACCCATAGTCTTTATAATTTATGCTTTGGAAAATCTACACAATCAATATAAACTAAATATCAACAAAAAAAAGAAAAAAGAAAAAAAAGAAACCAAAACAACCAATAGGTTGCCAATTGGGGGGATATGGGCTTCGAGGGCATCAGGGAGTGGGTGTTTTTGGCTTCGAGAGGACCAAGGAAGCCAATGCAGGCTCTACAGAGGCTGTTGTGGCAGGTTCCAGAACTGGAGATGGCTGAGGATGGCAGGAGGTGGCATAATAGGGGGGCTAGAGGGCTACCTTGCATATTGCAGGGCTGGTCACGCACAGCTGCGTGCGCAATATGTAAGGCAACCCTCCAGCCCCCATATTATGCCACCTCCTGCCATCCCTAGCCCTCCAACCTCCTACAAATAACCTCCCTACGGCCTCTCTTGCCTTCACCCATCCTCTAGAACACAAACAAAGCCACTCCCTCGATGCTCGTCAACTACTCGACAAAACGCCACAATCACCTCACAATCAAAACCAACTACATATCCCCCAAATTCACACAAACTAATCAATTTTTTCATCAAATTCAAAACCACCAANAACTAAAAGTTAAATATTGAAATCTAACAATGATTAAACAGAAAATATGAACCAAAGTCTGCTACATTATTGTTAGCTTGAAAGGATACATATGCTTAACTTAACTATTCATATCAATGCGTATGATATATACACACTCTGATTGACATAAATTAAAAAGCCCAAAAATAATTATTTGTGCGATTAATTATGATATATTTGTTATAATCCAGGTACAAGGGATGAGTGATAAGTACAAAGATAATATTACACCAATATATACATCATTTGTAATGGAGATATTTGAAATAAATTTTGAGAAATAAAAACCTAAAATTCATTGTTTAAGAAGGCATGTTTATAATTTTCTCATTTTGTGAATTTTTGAGAACCAAAATTGGGTGAAAACCATTAGTTCTTCTCCAAGTAATGCTATGCCCACAACATTTTCTCACAAACTTCTCTTACAACCCCGATGTGGCAACTAAGTTGGCGTTGTCAAGTCAACTCCTCCCACACCAAGGATACAAAATGATTTTGACAAGACAAAAAAACGACTGTTCCTTTATAGAGAACGACCATTCCTTATGAAGGAGTGGTCGTTCCTCACTGAAGGAACAACCATTCCTTCAAGAAGGCTTAAGGAACAACCGTTCCTTCATAAGGAACAGTCGTTCCTTCTGAAGGAATGACAATTCGTTTCTAGTAATGCCTTGGGTGTGGTGGGAGTTGATGTGACAGTGCTAATCTGCTGCAAAGTTAGGGTTGTAAGAGAAGGTTGTGAGATTGGGTTGTAAAAGTAGCATTTTTCATTCTTCTCCTCCATTAAGAATTTATTTTGTGAAACCAGCTCATGTGTCTCACTCTAATCAACAACTCTTTCCAAAGACATTATAGAAAGTGTTATCGAATAGTGAAAACATAAAAGTTCTTAAATTCATTAGTCAATTAGGGCGGCCGAAAGCTTTCATTTTCTTATGTATGTCAAGTCTTGGCAGTCATTGATTTTAATTAAAGTAGATTTGGACTAGTCTGATACATACAGAACTCCTAGCTTCCTAGAAGTTGCATGCATGTTGTTGGAATTTCCAAGTTAACCTTCACAAATTTCTTTCAAGCCTAATTTCGACATTTAGCAAATACTAGAGTCTATGTTGCCACAGAGGTCTTGCTGAATATTATAAAATGCTTGGAACTTTCCTTTCCACTTAAATTTGACCTTGCAAACAAACTTTGAAGGCTATTTTCATCGCTAGGCTGGCCATTGCAGCCCACTTTTGGATATAATTTATGAGTGACTTCTTTAGTCCATTGGTGTGGTGTCAATAGCTCCACTTGTTCTATAATTGTAGCATAGACTAATTTTTGCGAATATTCATAAGCATTTGGTATTAGAAGTTTAATCAAACACCATTTAAGATTAATATTGTAACAACTGCTGTAAACTAGTACCATGCATGCATAATAACAATAGAAAATGGGCCCAAAACTTTTCTTTTTATTATAAGTATTAAGATAGGAAGATAAAAGTATCTGCTATTTCCTTCATCTTGTTAAGGAGAATGGAGAATCAAAAGGTGTTATGTTAAGGGGTGATGTTGAGAAGAATGGAATACTAAAGAGGTTTGAATTAAGGGAAGATGTTGAAAAGAAGAAGAAGAAGACTGTAGGACTTGGTTTAGTCTCGGCTTATGCAAATCAAGAAGAAGCTTATTTAATACTTGTAATATTAAGTGTAACTAACGCAACGTTCTATGTACAATGTTATAAAACGCTACGTTTGATAACTGATGGCTGTCTATATAAAGTCAACCTTTTTCTGTTGTATTCAGTCAGTTAGAAGAAATAACAGATTCCCATTTTCCAGAATTCACATGTTTCTTGCTCTGTTTTCTGCATTTTCTTTCTAGATTGTTCTCTTCATATCTGTATCTTTTCATGGTATCAGAGCCCTAGACTAATGTCTAAGATTGATCTTAGCTCAAATTTTTCTGCAAATTTTTCTCTTCAAACGAAGGAAAAATATGGAAACTAGACTAGCTACTGTTACAAGTCCAAGCACATTGCCTACCTTACCTTCGATCTCTGTGAAACTTCAAGAAAGAAACTACACTTTCTGGAAATCTCAGATCTTGCCAGCTTTGAGCTCACATGGATTGGATGTCTTCGTTACTAGAGAGAAAGTATGTCCACCAATGTTCTTAATTGTTACATCTAAAGAATCAGAAGAGAAGGTAAAGAAACCAAACCCTAACTATTTTGATTGGAAAAAGGTTGATCAATTTTTAGTAAGCTAGCTTCTCTCAACTATTTCTGAATTTATGTTTAGACATGTTGCTAAGTGTAGTACAGCTTATGAAATTTGGAACATTTTAGAGTTACATTTCCAATCAGTCTCTAAGGCTAGAACACTGCACTTAAGAAACTTATTGCAGACAACTAAGAAGGATTCATGTAGTATTAGTGAATATGTGCTGAAGATGGAAGAACTAGGAGATGAGTTGAATGCTAGTGGTGTAAGTCTAAGTGATGAGGAACTGTTGTTATATATATTACATGGTTTGGGACCGGAGTATGATGCTATTGTCGCAAATCTCACCTCTAATAGTAGCATTATCACTCTACAAGAGGCTCAGTTCTTGTTACACAAACATGAAATAAGATTGGAGAGGCAACATAGTGCTTATAATCACTTACATG